TGTTATGTATGGACAATGTTATAAAAACTGTTATACCACTTCGTTTTGTTATTAGTTGGTAGGTACCTAACTACGACAACACATTCCAACTAAACGATCATTTTTAATTGAATTGAGACTAGACATGAGACACAAGAAAAATATTAAGTACTAAGTACCCTACTCACTTAGTTATCATTTTATGCATCGCCTACGTCCAAGCTAGACTTCACTTACATCGCAAGAGACCTACCACATACAAAAACACAAAAAAAACATCCTTATCGTCACACATATCTAAAATATCCTATAAATGCCATTCAACAGCACCTTTCCTAAGTACATAACGGCGCTAAAATATTTCAAATCGATTCATGAGATTGTTATCGATTATTCGCCTTAACGAAAAAAGAATTTGAGATTCGCACCGCGAACATTTTATACGAAAATCGTCTGGCGCCGCGATGCGTCAGCCATTTTAATTAAACTTCTAGTATTTTAATGGTAGTTTATTACCTGATGCATGTCATAGATTATTCCTAGGCTTTGTGTAAGACTGCCTGTGTGTTTGGTAGCATTCTCGATACTTCGGCTAGTGTTTCGTTTTTGGCGGGTAATGGATTATTGTTTGCTATGTAAAAGTTACGACTTATAAACGTTTCTTTACGATGGATTAGTATTCGTTTTTTCAAAAATAGCTGATGACGAGTGTTTAAACTTGTGTGAAGTGTTATGAAATCCTAGATAAATCTATTTAGAAATGTGTATTTATTCAAAACGTCACTGAGAACCTAACGGGTTACCGGGGCTCCGGCTCGACGTGCAGGAGAAGGAACGGGGTGGTTTTTAGTCAGTAAGAGTCTGACACTCCCTCCCGCCTCACCCAGGCGGGAGCAGCCATTCGATGATTTTCCCCCCTTAAAAAAAGCCATATTAAACCAGAAAATTCAAGTGCTTCGCTAGATGTCAGGAGCCAAGAAAAAAAAACAGTTAAAACTTTCTGAAATGCAAAAACAATTTGAATACTTTTTACTACAGGTCCTTGTACAGATCATTATAGTATTACAAAATCCAGACTCACTAACCGACTTAAAATAAATTCTAGAATATTGTGCGTACTTAAATCTATCTACTTGTCTATGCCCGACAGTTTTTTCGCCACTAATCCATGCAAACAAATCTCGTCTAAGACCTTGGTAACTTTAAACCTGAATTGATGTATAGAACGAGCACTTTGTCTAACCGAAATCCTATTGGATCAATTCGACACTTCAAGAAATAGCCTGATGGTAAATAGCAGACAAAATCTATACGTAATACTATAAAATTTTTGACATACAAACTATCTACAATGTTATGCTCTTCTTTATCTCCTTCAACTAGGTCTCACGAGGTCTGATGGTTGTCGTCAAGATCAAGACTTAAAGTCCTTTTATATCTTACTTCTGTAGGCTATCAAGATAAACATTTTACTTATTCAAAGAATCCATAATTGCCTAATAGATTTGATAGCCGCTGTCTCCAGAGACACTCCGCACCCGGTTTCATTACATCTTAGTTAGATAGTTCAAAATTATATAGTTTCATCACTTGCATCTTAAGAGACAGTTTAAAATGTCTTAATCCTCTTTCGGTAGGTACCCTTAGAGAACCTAATCTTAAATAGAGGAGCTAGCTATGTT